ACATGCTACTAGTCATTCCTCGTAAATAAACAATTCATTAATATTTACATTTCTCAATGCCTATGTAGCCAATCATGTGTGGAAGAATGGAGAGTCACACATTAAATCCGAAAAAATTATTAAAATGATAGATTGTTGGATTGAAATATGACTACTAAAAATAATTTTTTCAGATTTAGAAATATGACTATCAAAAATAAATGGAGGGAGTACTCCCCAAACCAGCTACACACAAAGGGAGTGGTCAATAATTACCTGGTCCATCGATCGGTTCCGACGATTAGTCAGAAAAAGAAAAATAATCAAGAGAAGGCCAATGAGCATCGCGATTTGTGTTCGTTCAGATCGCCAATCGATCGGTACCATGATTGTGATTCCAACGACGGAATTGTTCTCTTCCTAGCCTCAGGGCCCTATAGGCAATTGATTAACCGTCACCTGCATGGATACACTGTACAGTACCTGAGTACCATACGGGGTTCACCAAGAATTCTGTCAAGTTGAACAGTATTGTAAGTGCAAGTAGAATAAAAAACTATAAGCTAGCTAACTACAAAGACCTGTGGAGGAGGAAGAAAAAATGGCTTCATATTTATTGTCAGTTATTAATAGTACTGTAGTACTCCCTCCGTCCAAAATTATAGGGCAAATAAACCCGGTAGCTTTTGACTAATAATCATACTAACTATATCTATACTAATTATTATGTACATTATATCACTAGATTTATATTTTCAAGTACTGATGTTAATTTCATATTTCTTGGAATCATAGAATAAAAAAATACTAGTCAAAATATATTATTGAAAACCGTGTAAAAAAATATAGGTTTTATAATTTGGAACAAATAAAGTATATATTTATATGAAACTACTATGTGTAGGCTATTATATTAGTTATAAATAACATGGTTAATTTTTAGAGCTATCAGCTGAGTATACTATTAAACGTTGCTCTTATGTCGTTAGCTGTGATATGCTGCCTCGGGCAACCTAGAAAAACTCGAGGAGTCGCGCGGCCACTTGCGGTTGCGGGGGAAAAAAAACACGAAAGCATAGGCATCCACGCGATCCTACGATGCCAGCGCGTGCGGATGCCGCGCCCAAAAACCGGTAGCTGGTTTCGCCGCCCCGTAGGGAGCGCAGGCAGTTTCACGCGCGCGGCCCTTGTTTCGCTCCGCGCAACGCGCGCGCGAGCCCAAAAAAAAAAAACGACGGGGGAATCATCGCCTCCGCTGCTGGGTTGTGGCTTTTTTGCCTTTTGGCGCCTAGCTACGTACCAACCCACATCACGCGCGTGCGCGTGGTGGCACACTGGCATGCATATGGTTGCGGGGGGAAATCGGGGAAAGGAAAACGCGCGGCCCTCGTAGACTCGACTCTCTACACTCGCGCGAGGCGAGCGATGTTGGAGGGGAGGGGGGTTGCGTGTGTGACACCGCTCGGGTTGTCCCTCTCTCGCTCGCGGATGATTCCCTCGCCTCCACCATCGATCACCACCACCAGCAGCACCAACCCAACCACAGCCTACGCATACATGCAGAGCATATATGCTGCTTTCCTTTCCATAGCCTGTTGACAACTAGAGGAACACCCGGGGTTTTTCGGCTAGCTTCATAAGATGATTAGTCTAGATGAACTGGATTCAAAACCTCACCCCCTTTTAATTATTTGATATTAGATTATTTTCTAATATTCGTGTATTTTTAGCCTATAGCCATTATATATTATGATGACGATAATAATCCGACGACGTCTAAGGATGAGGCAGGTTAATTGGGATTTGTCCTCGCAAAAAAATGAAAAAGGTTTATTGGGATTTGTGAGGAGGATACGACTACGAGGACGATGTTTGCATGTTGACCTTTGTTGTGGGGCAGGTCACACCGGGCAACAATCATATGTGCCGCACCATGCTAGAGTGCTTTATTTTGTTTTTGTTGGTTATTCGTGTGAGTTATTTAATTTGCTCCACGCTTTTTAAATATTTAATTTATCTCTATAATCAAGAAGATAATCCATCAAAATAATATGCTTAATAATCATGTGTGCTGTGATATGCGGCATTGTTGTTTTTGCTAGTATTCCATAAAAAATATTACAAAAGCCAAAACATAAATCAAATATGAAAATTTAGGAAAAGCAAAACCATAAAATTACAAAATAGATAAATTAATTACACATGATAAGCTAGTATGCGTTGATGCTGAGATTCTAGAGGATTCTTTTTCAATTTATTTCTTCAAAACTAAAAACATTTTTATGCTCTCTCTCTCCCCTCTTTTTAAATTGTATTTGACATGTAGATCTCACGGAGTAGGTTGAAGCCCATTTGGACTAACCCATGTCATGTTCAGGGACTCAAAAAATTGTTTTTTAGAGTGTAGAGATTAGATGTCATACCCACATAAGTTTAGGGACTGCCCGTGCACTTCACTTTTTTTTATGTGTTTGTGAATGTAAACACAAAAGGAACACAAATTTAGATTAATGCATCGCATCTCATTTGTACTACACTAAATGAATATCAAACAAAAATTTCCAAGGTACTGCACCCGAAGAGATAGGGAATAGAAAGAACACAATTTTTTGGGAAGATAGTTAGATTAGAGGAAGACCTTTAGTTGAGAAATATCCAACACTGTATTACTTTTACCAAAAACATTACTAGCTGTTGCAAAGGAATTTAAGGAGGGTGGGGGAGGGGCTATCAAATTTAGAAAGAATATGCGAAGTGAGATAGCTCATCTGTTTAGTTTTTCTAGAACCTATGTACCCGGATTTGAGTTCTAAACTTGGTCTTTTTATAATTCTATGGAGAGTAATAATCTGCAATTCCCTTTCTCAGAGATTTGAATGTTGAAATTACCTTTCAAAATTAAGGTGGTCTCATATATGGTTGCTCCTTAGAAATGGTATCCTTACCAAAGATAATTTCCTTAGATGGGGCTGGAAAGGGGATAATTTCCTTATTGGTATAATAATCTAATTGTGAAACTATTGGACACTTATTTATGAAATGTGCTCAGGCTTGATTTGTGGAGAACGTAATTAATATCACTTTCAATTTGGGTGCAATTTAGAATATCCCACACATATTTGAGGGATGAAACAATTTTGGAAAAGAAATGAGGAAGCTAATAGAGGTAGGTGTATAACCGTTGTTCCGTGAGCAATTTGGACAAAAAGAGAAATGGTGCTTTTTTTTAAAAAAAAATTACTGCTAATAGAGGTAGGCTTGATTACTCGCCCGTTGGAGCGAATCAGACATGTCTATTTTTGAGTTTCATTCCAAACTATTTTAAATAAATCACAGGAAGAGACATAAGAAATATAATTTTATGAGTGAGAGATGTGGGTAGGTCAGACGCTAAATAGGATGGCAAGTGACATATATATAATGCGAGATATGGCCAACGACCTTGGAGAAGAAGACTAAGATGAATTCTCTAAGTCTTGGCATGAAGGTTTTATTTAAGAAGAAATGAGTGAAAGAAGTCCAGGGTTTTGGAAAAATGCTACTTATGTCATCTAATTTTGGACCATTTTCTATTTTTCGGTTGTTAAATACAATACTTATGTTAAGTGTTTTTTCTCTCTGTAGAGCAACTTGAAAGACAATGGGATGGCATTATTAAGTCAAGTGTCGTTGATAATGGATTATGTACTATTTGCCCATTTATGTAAATAGAAATGATAGAGGCCTTGACCTCTCTTTTTGGAAGAAGATAACATGACTTGAGAAGCATACTAACATAGACTATCTTCATGATAGTGTGAGTGTGATGTGACGTCTCAATGCCATTTGAAATCTGTAGGAAGCCAACGACATAGTCTATTTGTACCACCATAAACATTATCTGCATACATATTCATACTAGTACCAAGTTTAAAATGTCAAATGAAAAAGTTGGAGAGAAAGATAAACATATATTGGGGTTGAGAGAGGGACAATACAATAATGGGTGGAGAAAGTGGATAAGTAAAGGAACACCAATATTTGTGTGGACGATGAGGCTATCATGTTACGTATTTTTACCTATCTCGACTGAGGGAAACTATTTTAATCCCTTGAGGGGATGTCTCCTCATTGTTTGCATGTCACTTAAATGGTTATGAAAAAATTGAAAAAATTTAAGAAGATGTATTAACATGTGATATATCACTCCACAAACATGCAAGTTCAAATTCAACTTCTACATCTCACAATGAAAAAAACAAATTTGACTGTGAATATACGTTAACTAGTTGTAATTTAATTTGTTTTTTCGTTGCGAGATGTAGAAGTTGAATTTGAATTTGCATGTTTGTGGAGTGATATATCACATGTTAATACATCTTCTCAATTTTTTTTTAAATTTTTTCATAACCATTTGAGTGCCATGCAAATAACGAGGGGATATTCTCTCGAGGGATCAAAATCCACTCCCCCTCGACAGATAAATAACCATTTTTTTTTGCGAAGAACAATAACTTTTTATGACATTATTAATACAGATGAGTTTTATATTTATACCAAACTTCAAATAAAAATATTTAGCAGTATTTGCTACTCGTGTTAATCTCTACAGTACAAGTTCTCAAGAAAATTACACTTTGCCCCGTGGGGAGTTCTAATCTTCCAGTATTTCTCGTCGCTCTCGATGCAATTGAAAAAAATACACACGAGTTGTAACGAACAAAAAGGAAAAACCGCACGGGTTTATCATCAAAGCTGGATCTGCACAACAAACAGCCTCGCAACAGAAAGAGAATCACCACGGGACAAAGGCGGTGACGTGTCACGCGGCGCGGCCCCACACGTCCGCGTGGGCCCGGCACGTGCCCCGCGGCGCGGGGGCCACCTGGCGCCGAGCTGGGCTCGCGCGGGTGTGGCGACGTCGGACGCGTCCAAGACATCGGCGTGGCCCGTGGCCACCACCCCCACCGGCGGGCCCCGCCGTCGCCGCCGCCGCCGTCTCCCTCCTCCCTCTCCAACTATAAATACCTCACTCCTCCTCTTCCCGCCTCCACACAAGCAAACCAATCATCACCTCTTCTTCTTGGGGTGTTCTTGACTGGAAGGTTTCTTTGGTGATGGCGAAGGCGAGCGTGGTGGTGCCTGAGCAGGTGGGCGCGGCGGCGGCGGCGCAGGTGGGGTGCCCCTGTCCGGGCACGACGCTGTTCCCGTACCCGCCGCCGCGCGCCGGGATCGCCGTGCGGCGCAAGTGCCTGCAGGCGGCGCAGCAGCTGGAGCTCGGCGCCGGGCTGCGCGGCGGCTGGGTGGAGTCCATGCGGGCGTCGTCGCCCACCCACGCCAAGGCCGCCGCCGCCCTCGCCGCCGGCGTCGACGAGGAGCACGCCGCCTGGATGGTCCGTTTCCGTTCACCGATTGATCGATGTTCGTCGCGTTCTTGGCGCGCGCGCGCTGACACTGACATGAACCGTGCATTTCCGTTCGTCTTTGTGCAGGCGAGGCACCCGTCGGCGCTGGGCGAGTTCGAGAAGGTGGTGGCGGCGTCGAAGGGGAAGCAGATCGTCATGTTCCTCGACTACGACGGCACCCTCTCCCCCATCGTCGACGACCCCGACGCCGCCTTCATGAGCGAGACGGTGAGCTTGAGCTCCCCTCCCCTGTCACCTACTCTGCTCCTCCACTCATCATCATCTCACACCTCTCTCCTTCCTCATCAGATGCGGATGGCCGTGCGCAGCGTGGCGAAGCACTTCCCGACGGCGATCGTGAGCGGGCGGTGCCGCGACAAGGTGTTCGAGTTCGTGAAGCTCGCCGAGCTGTACTACGCGGGGAGCCACGGCATGGACATCAAGGGCCCCGCCTCCCGCCACGCCGCCGCCAAGTCTCCTCCCCACAACAAGGGAGTCCTCTTCCAGCCGGCCAGCGAGTTCCTCCCCATGATCGAGCAGGTGCACCAGCGACTCGAGCAGGCCACCAGCTCCATCCCGGGCGCCAAGGTCGAGAACAACAAGTTCTGCGTCTCCGTCCACTTCCGGTGCGTCGACGAGAAGGTAACTGATCGATCTGCAAGCTCGATTGGTTGATTGGCTTTTTTCATTTGGTGATCAATTGATGATGGAATTGGGGGTGCAGAGTTGGGGGGCGTTGGCGGAGACGGTGAGGAGGGTGGTGAGGGAGTTCCCGCGGCTGCGGCTGAGCCAGGGGAGGATGGTGTTCGAGGTGCGGCCGACCATCAAGTGGGACAAGGGCAAGGCCCTCGAGTTCCTCCTCGACTCGCTCGGTACGTGCAGTGTGTTACTACTCTACAACTTTGCCATTCCTCGTCGGCAAAAAAACCCATTGGCTCTGCTCCGCCGCAGGTTTCGCCGACTGCAGCGACGTGCTGCCGGTCTACATCGGCGACGACCGCACGGACGAGGACGCGTTCAAGGTAAATAAATACTTGTACTACTAACCGACAAAAATTACTGCATGCTGCCACGCTACGACTACGTGTAGCAGCAGCAGTAACACGAGACGCTACCACTACTTCGTTTGCAAGTGGTTCGACGAACGTACGGCCGGTTCGTCGCGTGCAGCTAGCGACAACGTACGTCTTCTTCTACGTTGGACTAATCGGCGAGCCGTGTGCATGATCCGGGCAGGTTTTGCGGCGGCGTGGGCAGGGCGTGGGGATCCTGGTGTCCAAGCACCCCAAGGAGACGAGCGCCTCCTTCTCCCTCCAGGAGCCCGCCGAGGTAATTAAGCAAAACCACTCGTACGCACGCATGAAAACGTTCGTATCACTCTGCTCATGTTTGTGTTGCAATTGCGACAACAGGTGATGGAGTTCTTGCTGCGGCTCGTGGAGTGGAATCGCCTGTCCAGGACACGGTTGAGGCTGTAACAATTGAATTTAACCGGCGAGGCTAGCTAGAGAGAAGCGCGTGATCTGGGCCGTCCAAGCGATTACATCGGCAGGGTAACCCGTGACGCTGATCGATCGTGGATTCTACACCAACACAGGTGCTCGAAAATGGTGTCCACATTGCAGAAGCGCAGAGAGCTAATTAATCAACGACGGACGAGAGAAACTGATGGCTGTCTGGCCATTGTTGTGCCATAATCCTGTTTAGTTCTTCACCTTTCTCCCTTCTTCTTTTTTCCCATTTGGGGCCCCCCTTTTGGTACCAACCATGTAAATTCCGTACTACTAGTACCTTGTCATGCACAAGAGGAAGATCAATGCAAATAATGAAGAGCAACTAATGCAAGTATATACTCATCAGCACATTTTCTTTCTGCTAGCTTAGCTATAGCTCTTGCTCTGATCTGATGCACCAATGATGCATTACACATTTGCTTTAGCTGAAGAAAAGCTCAGTGCACTACCCACTGCCGGCACAACGTAGCAACAGGCTGAACCGCATATTGGTCAATTGGGTGAGTGTAAAGCTTGATCTGCTCGTTGATGGATGTTGTTAGGACGAGCAGTAAACTGGGCCTCACTCACATGATCGGTAGCACGGAGTGGTACCACGGCTTCTCTACTGCTCTCTGTCAATGGATCCAACGACACATTGCCTTGTCATGTTCTTCCTGTGAATCATGTCCTCATCTCTGAAGAAGGGCCTGCCAGAGCAACCTCTTTCAGCGTGTTCTTGGTGGGCGAAGCTTTCACTGATGCACAAAATGAGCAGCAATCTTTGATGAGGTTCTGTGTGCTCGTTGACCACTAATTTGTTCGGATCGAAAGCTCGACAATGTCAGTAACTATCACTGCATCATGCTCTCGCACACATCGAGTGAATGAGACATCCTCGATCGACTCATTTAAGTAGATTGCAGTAATAACTGAAACGAGCATCGATTAACCAACTTGGATCACTTGCAAACAAGGGAAGGTAGGTACGACGCTGCATGCAGATTGATTGATCTGGTCAGATCATAATAGTCTCGCTTAAAAATTGCACATGAATCGCACTCATTTTGGATTTGGATGGGACTGATCTCGATTGTACACGTTGATCTGCCTTGAAGAGTTACACGACAAACACAGCCGGCCCACAGGCAAAATAATCCTTGGAAATAATGCAGAGAAAAGATTAGCATCTGCAAGAACCTCGTACTGAGAAGCTAGCTGTTGGATCGATCCATGGTGCATTTTTCTGCATCCACAGTGGGGTGAAGGACTTAAGGACAAAGTGAGCAATCATCAACAGATATACTAGTACGAGTTAATCATAATTATGTGTTAGATCCAGTGCTAGCTATGATCTAGTAGTTAAAATCATTTCTTCCTCCTAACAATACTAGCATATGCACCGATAATAATCAACGAGAGAAGTGCTAGTGCTGGTTCTACATGCCTACAATCCACGCATCATATCAATCATTAAGGTTGATATTTCAGTCCAATGGCGCACTATGAGAGAGCCCAAAAAGTAAGAAAAATGAGGGGTTAAGTGATTTTACTACACACACAAAACGACTGTCCACAGAAACCATGCCGATGTCACTGATAGGTGGGCCCCACGGGCTGGTTAGACTTCGGGGGCCCTTTTGTCGGCGGCTATATAAGAAATCACAGTACACATACATAGCTATTTTTTTCTTTTTTTTATAACAAACTTAAAAATAGTCAGATATTTAAACTGTTGTCGATTTGCACTCTCCAAAAAGTTTAAACTGATGGTGAAGTGATCAAATGCCACCATCCCCATTGGCCAGCCCCACATCAGAAAGGAGCAACCAATTGGTGGAATCTTGGATAATGTATCTTGATATACACAAGACATAATATTTACCATTTGGGGATATCATCTGTGCATCCAGTTGTGTGCTTTGGAGCCAAGCCATGAGAGGGAGGGGTGCATGGCCCCCCACTAGCTATGAGGAAGAAAATGGAAGGAATCTATGAGGGAACGACGACGATGACCATGACGACGACGATGATGTGCCTCTATGAGGAGTTGGATTCCACATCGGAGATGGAGACACTTGTATGCTTGCAATTATTTTGTTCCATCTTAAAAGATGAGGGGTTGGATGTGCTAGAATTTGATGGGTAGATTAAATGCATCGAAAAAACTGAAGATTTTTTTTTCTTTGAACTAGTATTTGACGGTAGCAGAAACTTTTTTTTTCCATGTGTGGGACTGGTTGGTTGCTTAGGTTGGGAATTATCAAATGGATTTGAATCAAAATTGGACGAGCAAGTTAAAAGATGAAAAATGTTACTGACAGATTTTATGTGGAACAGGGCCGGGTTGCTTTGGGAACAATTTGGGGTTTTTCCTTAATCCCTTATCCAGATACAAGCCAATAGTAGTAGCAACAACCGACCTGACCGGGATCTAATTAAGTCAGGTCGACATTGAACATCCTTATCAATGCCACTTTTACATAAAGGATTATGAGGCTAAGCAAATCAATAATCACCTCTCTCATTGCTAATGGATGAACTGTTAATTGGTGGGGAATTAAACAGCGCATATGAATCAAATCCACCCATCTATTCGCTGAATTATTTTATCCATCTAATCTTAAACAGGATTGTGCCCTAGCTAGCATACTAGATGTGCTTATCATGATAGACTTTCGTTCCAAGCAATTATCATGATAAACATGCCATGATCATGAATAGTTAGCCTTAAAGCGCGAGAAAACACATAATTGAATGGCTGGCCTGTTGTTAATTTTTAGGTGGCTCCATGGAGCCAATCATATATATGTGTAAATGGTTTGATAGGATATTACCGTGGATCAAGCATTAATTGCATGGGAAACATTAGAAAAAAGGAGTACATTTAAGTTTGATCTCCTGTTCTTACCAACTTGAACCCCATAACTTTACCTTTTGTTTTACTTTGAACCTCTTTCCCTCGAAATGTTGCCATCTCCAGGAAGACAAATAAATAAGATGTTATTAGTACGGTGATGGAGACGAGAGTAGCATGGCCAGTAAAGAGAGCGCGCTAGTACACCAAGTAGAGCTTAAGGAAAACAATAAAATACATAGTGAAAAAGAGATAAATAAGGGGTTCAAAGTGAAAGAAGATTAAATTGGGTCTAATGTGAAACTCTAGTAAAAGGAAGCAGGGGCAGGCCCAGAATTTTTGTTGGGTATTCGAAATAGAAAGGGATAAAAAAATACAATATCAAGCCTAATAAATGATATGTATGTATAGTTTCGTATAGTTATAAACTATATAATATATAATGGCTATAAGCATATTTTCATAAATTCATAGAATTGGCCATGAAATGAATTGAATGTATTTTAACATATAGCTGAATGGGCTAAATTGTAGCCCAAACTCAGTGTGGGCTGAGAGGAAAGGGGGAGGAGAGTGGAAAATTTGGGCCTAATAGAGAAGGAATGGTGAAATAGGGTCCAAGATAAGTAGTTTAAGACTTTTTTATTTTTTTTAATACATATATGAAGTATAGAGTATATATATATATATATATATATATCTATTTTTTTGTCTAAAAATCTTGGGTATACATCTGAATACCCTTAATCACTACTAGGCCCGCCGCTGAAAGGAAGAGGTCCAAACTGACATTAACTATTTGAAAAAAAAAATATTCCAGTTTGCCCTCCTCCTCTTACCAAAATTTCATGCTATACCACCTTTAGCCAATGCTTTTAGTACAGGAAGTTAACTTAACTCCACAGGTGTTAATCTGCCTATCCATCAACCATGGTGAATAGAAAAAGGCTCTCACTACTCCTTGCTTGTGGGCGTTGTTGATCGACAACTATACAGAACAATTTTACATGATATAGAAAATTCAATAAAGAAGCACATCTAACTTCTACATCATGGATACACTGAGCCAATCAATCTTCGAGAGAATGTAGATGAGAATAAGTGAATCTCTTCTTTCTATAAAGCTAATGCCCACTACACTCCTAAAGCTCAATATGCAAGCATAGTATTTATTAGCACTACTAAGACCTGCATGCAAGCATGCCACATCACCCAATTAAGCTCACAAAACTCAACATGCAAACACATAGTAATTATATCTACAATTTATTTTATTCTAAAACTAAACATATATATGCTAAATTATCATTCTCAAATTATTTTCATAATATTTCAATCCAAATCATTCATCATTTCTCCATTATCTAATATATATCCCGCAGCAAAGCGTGGGGCATCATCTAGTAACACTATAACAGAGTATAATCTTGCAGCTAACACCCACTCGGAGTAGGATCATCATTGACATATTAAGATTGAGATCCTAGTTTTTTTTTTTGCTATATATGGTGGATTAGCATGGGTAGAGAAGCCGAGGAAGATGACTAATTAAGCTGTGTTCGCCATTCTTGGTTCCTAACAGGAGGAGTAAGCACGGAAAACGGAGCGGTCCATTAGCGCGTGATTAATTAAGTATTAGCTAATTTTTTTCAAAAATGGATTAATTTGATCTTTTTAAGCAACTTTCGTATATAAACTTTTTGCAAAAAACATATCATTCAGCAGTTTGAAAAGCGTGCGCGCGAAAAACGAGGGAGATGGGTTGGGAAAAGGGGTGCCGAACACACCCTAATGATGTCTCTGATATCTCAAACAAGAGCGATGCTCCGGTGCTCTCTACTGTTAGAGGGTAAATTAGTAATTTACTAATACAATTATTAGGATTTACCTTTTCATGTATGTTTTTTTTGGGCTAAATCGATCTATGATCATCCATTGCACTGGCATCGCTCATGTTTCATCGAAAAAGCCAAAAAAAGAAAAAAAAAAAGGTTTAGTCACTGCTAAATGGCGATTATATCCTCCGCACCTATTTTTTCTTACAATAATACCCCTCCACATTTCTACTACCGCTAATTGGGGTGGTAGTATAAATAGATTTGAACCCTTCGATCAAATGAGATTAACGGTTCAGATTAATTTCTACTATCAGTAGAGAGCATTGTAGTGAGGCTCACATATTGCTTCACTTCAAATAAAATCAATAGTACTATGACTATAATATGAGTATCATGTACAAAACTAGTTAATGGCAAAGTGTGAGTGTGGCAAGTGGTGACCAATGAAGGAGAAATGGGAATAAGAATGAGCTATTACATATATAGATACAAATTTTAACCTAAACTTATTAAAATATTAAACACCTATGTAAAATCTAAACATTTTGTGGGTCCCTAAATTAAAGGTAGTCCCTCTTCTTGACCCGCTAGGCTAGAAGGTCTGTCCCTGAACCTCTTTGGCCTGAGTTTGTCCTTGTCAATCCTTAGCAATGCCCAATGATCTTAGCTAGGAAGGGACAGCGACTAGGTATGGGCAGGATAGAAAGCAGAGAAAGACATGAGGGTATTTGCACTCTATTGAAAGTTTGATGGCATTCAACTTTGGAAATTCGGTGGAATATACCCACTAGTGCATGCCTATGAATAACGTGGATTAATTAAGGTTAATTGCAAAATCAGAATACACACTCTCTTAGAACCTAGACAAAAAAGTTCTCTCTCTAAAGTACATAGTTGTTACATTTATGAGAGGCACCTCCAATAGAAGTAGGATTAAAAGTTTACATTTTTTTTTGTTTGTGCGGGTATTCTCTGGTCCGTGTACCTAGGGATGAAAATGGTACGAAAACTTTCCGGATTCCAGATCTATTTTCAAAAATGGAATTTGTCGGTCGAAAATTTTTCGGAAACAGAAACGAATTCGAAAATATTTTCTCAGAAACGGAATCGAATATGATAAGGACAGTTTCCGTCAGAACTCAGAATTGGTCTGAAACTTTCCGAAAAATTTCTCAGAATTTTTGGAATTATAAAGGCCTATACCATAGTCTATAATTCCTTCCCAGCTCAACCCAATTCAGCATCCTAATTCCTAAGTCACTCAATTCAGCCCAACCCAATATACATAGTTTAAACTTGAGAATTGGACTTGACATGATTGTGTTTTATGATGTAATGTTGAAATTAGAGACTTGAGAATTTTATTTGATATAGTTTGAACCTTAGTTTGAGGGGTTTTTGTATTCCTATAAATTTTTTGTCACCGTATCAGCGCCGGTCCGTTTTCGCTCCGTTTTTTGTTTCGATAATATCTGATTCCAATTTCGTATCCGGGGTTTTCAATTCCGATTCCGATTAAGAAAATAAAAACGAAAATGATAAAGATGGTTTCCGTCCGTTTTCATCCCTACTTGTACCTCTAAACGACGGGAGAAAAACTCAATATCGACCGTCCTTTTTCTTCTAGGTAGTTTTGGCCGATTGATATCTTTAGTCCCCAAACGGTGAAAGTATATATGATACTTACCGTAGCTGAGCGAAAACCTCATTTACCTTTTTTTTTAATTTTTAAGCTGTTCAATCGATTTAACTCTTTTAATCTTTTGCCTGTAAGTAGTGAAATTACTGGCGCCTATTAGGAAGAGCTAAGACATCAACAAATGAAAAATGATTCGGTGGCCACAATTAAGTTTTTCAATGGACTAAGCACCGATCAATGAACAATCCTTTCAAAGCTCTAAAAGGTATGCTCCAAACAGTAAACACTCGCCAAATTTGACATTCTTTGTAGCTCTTCTCCCTATTGTGATGGTCCAAATATAAATGATAGGCTAAGAAGAACAACTTTCCTACCATTTTTGGCGTTATAGTACTATATGCATCTCTAAATATACGACACTTTTGACTTTATTAAATTCCGATGTTTATGAAACTTTAACCATAACCATATGTTTCTGTTAGAAATAATGATAATATTCAAATATATATTACCTTTGTTTATGTATTAATTACTTCCCGTATGTGTTATATCTCGTTACCTTCTGAAATAGCGTAAATTAAAATTTTTGAATCAGTATATTTAATATTTTATTTAGTAACAAATTCTCCTTCTTAGTAACTTCTCTAGCAAGGTAAATGTGTGAATTCCACCTTTATCACCAGTTAATTCTTTTTTATATAGTTACAGCTTACTAAATGCTCTATCCGTTTCACAATGTAAGTCATTCTAACATTTTCCACATTTATATTGATGTTAACGAATCTAGACATACTCCCTCCGTTTCAAAATGTTTGACACCGTTGACTTTTTAGCACATGTTTGACCATTCGTATTATTAAAAAAATTTATGAAATATGTAAAAATATATGTGTACGTGAAAGTATATTTAACAATAAATCAAATGATATGAAAAGAATAAATAATTACTTAAATTTTTGAATAAAACGAATGGTCAAACACGTACTAAAAAGTCAACGGTGTTAAACATTTTGAAACGGAGAGAGTATATATCTATCTATGTTCATTAACATCAATATGAATATGGAAAATGCTAGAATGACTTATATTGTGAAACGGGGGAAGTATTTATATATAAAATAGCTTACTAAATATTATAGATAAATAAGCTTATGCATGAGGCCATGACATGTATGGTTCCTGGGTTCTTGTTTATTGTTGCATATGGTACTTAAATTATTGCATTTAGCTTCATATTCACTCTGTTTAAATAGATAATAGTTGACTTTTCAACACACGTTTAATTATTTGTCTTATTAAAGTAATTTATGTAAATGTAAAAGATATAAATCATACTTAAAATACTTTTATTGATAAAACAACTCACGACATGATAAATGATAAATACATATTTTTTAAAACAAAATAAGATGAATAGTTGTGTGTTCAAAAGTCAAATGGTATCATCTACTTAAAAAAACAGAGGTAGTATAATTTTTCACATGGTTTATACAACTTTCTGTTGCTGGCTGTCATCTAGTTTAATCTATTTATCAGCCACTTAGCCGTGAGAGTAGGCGGACGCAGCTTTAAAATATAGATGGGACAAAGAATGAAGATGCTTAATCGATAAGAGAAATCGAACACAACATATATCATATTTATAGTTAAATTGCATAATTGCCTCGACCATTGTTTGTGGCGTGCATACGTCGTGAAGATACAGACTAATCTATTGGACGTTTACACCTTGTTATACCTAATTTTTATGGCTAATGACTAATATAAGGGGTAGGGAGGGTCATGGGTGTGAAGCGACACGAGTCGTAAATGAGACAGTCAACCCACCCTGCCTAATGGGTAGATCCGCCCCTAAAGAGTAGTACGAGTGAATTATTTAGACATATTCTATCATCAGTTAGGCCCCTTTCGTTTGGACCGGTTGCTTCGATAACTTCTGTAGCACGTTTTTTAAATCGTTTATATAAGAAATTTTTTAAAAAATAAATCTATTTTATAAATTTAATTGTAACAACGCCTTGGGCTGTGTTTAATTAGAGGCGTTAGGAACCCCTCCCTTCACACGTAAAATAGAGCGACGAATTAACATACGATTAATTAAGTATTAGCTTAAAAAGTTTTAAAATAGACTAATATGATTTTTATAGAAACTTTTGGAAAAACATATCATTTAGCAATTTGAAAAACGTGTGTTCAGAAAATGAGAGAGATGAGGTTGGAAACATTGAGGGAGGAACACAACCCAAATAGTTTCAACGCCACAAAAAAGTTCTAATCCTACATAAGGGTTTGCATTATCCTATAACTTCACTTTAAACCTGCTCATGGTGTTCTTTAGGAGTTATAGAAACCTTCCAACCCCACCTTTGGATTGTTGCACAACTCTACTTTAAACTCCTCTCTTAATATATTGCCTCTGAGATACGATATAGGATTGGGTGACAAAGTGAAGGAGAAAAGTGAGAGATGATGAACCATTCGAAATTAAGAGATACTCCCTCCGTCCAAAAAAACGAATCTATGACTGAATATGACGCATCCTACAAAAACGAATCTGTATAAAAATATATCCAGATTTATTCTACTAGGATATATCACATCAAGTGGTAGGTTGGTTTTTATGTGACGGAGGAAGTAACCTCCACATAAACTCGGAAGAACAATGTGTAACTGGATATGACAGATTTTATGGTAGGAAACTTTTATTTTAACGCGATTTTAACTATTAGAACACGATAATATCATCTTTAGGGACAAAATACCCCTAAATATTCGTGATTTTAAATCTAGAACACGGTAAAAAATAAAAATCAATCTTTAGAGACAAAATGATTTTAACTATATATAGAACACGATAAAAATCATAAAAATCAATCTTTAGGGACAAAATATGGTTATTTGCTGGTTAACTTTAGTGTCCTATATTTAAAATCATGAAATTGCAGTGCTCACTTGCTCTTATAAGTTGCTACTCGATTAATTCTTAGCTGCTACCAAACGTACCTAATACTAACTAATTATTAATTAATAATGCGCTAATCTTTTCTGAAGAGTTAGGCACCAAACATACCCTAATACTCGATCAATATTGATTGATTATATCCGTAATACTCAATTTATTATTGATTAATTATACGCTAATGACCCGTTCTTTTTTTCAGCCGTCAATAGCTAGAGTTGTGTGATTCAAACGCAAGCGGCCTTAATTTAATCCGCTTTTAATTTAGGATATCAGTCACAACTCACAAATGTAAAACCAGTAACTAATTAAACACCGATTCATGAATATTATTAGAAGCAGAACAAGAAACACTATGACCAAGCATTAGTACCTGATCATGCATCTAACAGTACAGATCAACTTGTTAAACTCTATATCATTAACCTAATCCTCCGCTTAATTACCTATTAATAATCTCTCTCTCTCTCTCGGTTCACTTTTGGGAACATTAACACAAAGCCTCAGATCAGGAGTTCCACACGCGCCCACCGTGTTGCCCAGCTTCTTCGGCCGGCCGCCGCACCACCGCCTCGCGGCGCCGCCGCCGCCGCCGCCCATGATGCCGCCGCCTCTCAGGCCGGCGGCGTCGCTCGCCCCGTCGCGCGTCCTCTTCTCCGGCGCCGGCAGCTTCCGCCCCCTGACCGCCTGGACGACCCTGAGCAGCAGCATTACGCCCTCCACGTTGAGGCTCCACCACCCGGGCCCGCCGGCGCCGCCGCCCGCCCTCCGCGCCGCCTCCCGCCGCGGCGACGTACGGCTCGTCTCGATGGCCTCCAGAAGGTCGGACACGACCGACTTGCTCGGCAGCGCCGCCGCCGAGCCACCGGCGCCGGCGCTGGTCCCGGCGGCATTATTGGCGGCAGCGCCGCCGGCGGCGGCGGCGAGGGTGATCATCAGGTGGCGCGCGGGCTGGAGCGCGCCGGCGAGGAGGGAGCGGCTGAGCAGCTTGACGACCGCCGACGTGCGTACGGCGCGCTCCAGCTGGCTCGCGAGTCCGACAACGGCGCCGGCGCCGGCGCGTTCGGCCGCCGCGTCGGCGGTGGCCTGGCCGGCGCCGGCGGGCGGCGAGGTGGGCTTCTTCAGACGCTGTATCCTGCCGTGGGCGCGCACCCACGGGTTGGAGTGTTGGTTCATATCGCCGCCGGCTTCGTCTTCACCTGAACGAAACATCGAGAACAAAACGAAGAAATTAATCAGGACTCGACACGTCTCACTGCAACAGTGTTAAAACTAATCAGCAAGTTTTAATAGCATGGGGGCAATTGCATCTGTGCACTCACTTTCGAAGCCAATTGTTGTTTTACCCCCACTTTTTAGGGCTTGCAGTTTTACCCCCACATTTTAAATCTAAATCAGCCATGTACCCCTATTTCTAACGGCCGATTTTAACGGTGCTAGTTGTTAAAAAAAAGGACATTTATATCCTGGATGGTTATTGTATTTTTGCCCTATTTTTTTCAGTTTTGCGTGATTTTGCTCCTAATTTGTGATTTCAGCTTGTGTGATGAGCATTTTGACCAAATATAAGCATCTCTTGTGATGTTTTTTACTTTAACAAAAAAGAATCACAAATATAGGCAATTACAAAATTTAAACAAAAATCCCAAATACTAGCCTTCATGGTCAATGCTCTAGACCTTGTGAGGTGCTGAGAGATGATAGCCTTCATGGTCAATGCTCTAGACCTTGTGAGGTGCTGAGAGATGATAGCCTTCATGGTCAATGCTCTAGACCTTGTGAGGTGCTGAGAGATGAGAGTCATGTTAGGCATCTTGGAGTAAGGGTGTGTTTGGTTGCAAGCTACACTTTGCCACAGTTTGCAACGCCTAAGGTTAGACAGATTTGACAGGTGTTTGGTTGTAGCCACAGTTGTGGCAAGATTCCCCTCCAACAAATTGGGTCCCACGTGTCAATGGCTCAAAAAAGTGTGGCAAGATTCCCTTAGACTTAGTAAGTTGTGGCTAACAATTTGATCACCTCACCTTAGGTAAGGTGTGACAACTTTTGTTGGCAAGTAATGGTAAAGTGTGGCTGGGAACCAAACAGCCCCTAAGTATCAAACAGATTCGTAGCACCCGAGCTTGGCAGCGCAAGGCTTGCCGGATCCAGCGGACGAAGAGCCGCTCCCTTCCAGGCACTAACCTCAGGAAATACATGTAGAAATGGCAGTGATTCAGAGGCGCGTTGTAGCTGCGGAGCGTGAAAACGCGATCCACGAAGCTGATGAACCTGTCCAACTCCTGATAACCCCACCAATCGATGGAGAGGCCCGGTGCTTCCTCCCAGTGGTGGAGCCAACGACGGGCGAGCACGCACGTCGCCACCGCCTCGTGCGCCGGGAGCAGCAACAGCACGAGGCGGAGCACCTCGTCCGGCAGGGCGCTGATGCGGTCTGGCGGCACCTCGTGCGTGTGGGTGGAAGCGCGGCGCCGCCGCCGCCTCCGCCTCCGCCTCCGCGCACACACGCGGCCGCCGCCGCCGCCGCGCAAGGACCAATCCGGTGGGAGAGGAGAGCTGGTTGGATGTTTATCGATTCCCTCGAGGATAGAACGGTAAATTGATATTTCATAAATCATTTTTTTTATTTCTATTTGTTTTTCTAAAAAAATGTGGGACCAACCTAACGGTGTTAAAACTGAGGACGTTTTAAAAAAATGGGGGTAAAATTGCAAACCCTAAAAAGTGAGGGTAAAACAGTAGTTGGAATTAAAAGTAGGGGCATGGATGCAATTGTCCCTAATAGTATAGCCAAATGTTAGATCTAAATCATCTATCGCTATTCTAACAGTCAATTAATACAATAATTAAGTATAAAAATATACTACACCATTAATACCTGGTCTCAGGTATTATACCCATATACTCCCTCTCCCTCCGTATTTTAATGTATGACGCCGTTAACTTTTTAACCAATATTTAACCATTCGTCTTATTTAATTTTTTTATGCAAATAAAAAATACTTATGTCATGCTTAAAAGAACATGATTCAATTTTTTTATGCAAATAAAAAAAATACTTATGTCATGCTTATTATGTCATGCTTAAAGAACATTTGATGATAAATCAAATCACAATAAAATAAATGATAATTACATAAATTTTTTTAGTAAGACAAAAGATTAAAAATTTTTAGTAAGACAAAAGATCAAACGTTTGTTAAAAAGTCAACGGCGTCATACATTAAAATACGGAGGGAGTAATATGTTGGACATAACAAATAGCTTGCTTTCTTCTCTCTTCTCTTTTCATCGCATATCATAGTCTATGTTACAGCTAGATACAAATAGCTTGCTTTCTTCTCTCTTCTCTTTTCATCGCGTATCATATTCGGCTTATAGCTTGCTATGTACCTGCTCTAACTAATGTTTTTGATCTAGTACATGTTGTTGTGTACAGTAATCAACCTAGTATATATGCACGCATGCATGAAGATAATTTGATACGCATCGCACAATATGTAATTAACTAGTAGGATTAATTGGTAATCACACGCGTTCTAATTTGCATGTTAATTGGAATACCTTGCTGCGTGGTGGAGAGATCGTGGTAGGAGCAGAACCGGGAGAAGATCTCGGCGAGGGTGGCGCACTTCCTCTCGGCGCCACCGCCGCCGACGACGGCGTAGAAGAATCCGGGCATCTCGAAGACGAAGACGCGGGCGTCGAGGCGCGCGACGAGGGCGTCCCGGGACAGCATCCAGTGGTGGTTGCCGACGGCGCAGGAGGCCATGGAGACCGGGTGGCCCTCGACGCGGGCCATGCGCACCGACAGGCCGCCGGAGCGGAACAGCCGCGCCGCCTCGAAGCGGTCGCCGCACAGCACGAAGAGGCTGACCGGCGGCGAGCCCTCAGCGGCGAGCAGCTGCGTCTCCCTCCCCATCCGGTACTCCTGCGTCCGCCCGACTCGCAGCGGCGGCCGCCCTCCTCCTCGTCCTCCTCCCTCCCGAGTCGCCATCTCCGATCGATCAACACTTAATGCTGCTTGATCACACAAATTAAGCTACTAGATTCAATTTCACTCTGTACTGCAAAAGAAGAAGAGGAAGAAGAAGAAGCTGCAGGCACGCAAAGAGCATGTCCATACGGCAAATATACTGGTCCTTTTTATTAGACAGTGATAGATCGTTGGCTCGTGGCTAGATAGATATTTTTTGCCCGGATATTTTTCCATGCAGCTAATATTATTCGCTAGGTTAAACAACGGCACGTGTTAAGGTTAATGACCATGTATGTATGCACCACTCACTCTATGCTAGCTACCAGTTAAACTATGGTACGTAGTGCTTACCACAACGAGAGCCGGATCGGAGAGAAAAGAGAAGGGAATTACGTTAGCTAGAGAGGGATCATGTTGGAGTATATGCGAGGTTGTACGAGCTGGGAGAAGACATGGGGGTGGCCACTCTTAAATAAGAGGGAGGTAGTGGTAGTAGTAGATAGCCATGGTCGCCGACCGAGGAAGAAGAAGCAGTGGGGGGTCGCGAAACGGAGGCCGCGCCCGCGCGGGAGAAGAGAGCGTATTGCATTGCATTGCATGCATGCAGGGCACGCGCCACGCACGCGGGACACCTGCGCGCCACATCGAGCGGGGGGTAGGGGCCCAGGCGTGGGGCCCGCAGGCGCTACACGCGGCCCCCACCGCAGCGCGACGTGGCCCGACGACGGCCACGCGTCCCGCAGCGCTGGACCCCTTGCATGCCGCCGCCTCGCCTGCGCCGCGAATCCGCGACCGCTTCGCGCGCGCGCGCGCGCCGAGCCGAGCCGTTCGAGTTCGCGCGCTGCGCGCCGGTCGAATCAAATACCGGCGGCATTGGCCTGCCTAATCAGGGGCTTAGAGCAAGCATAATAGACGTCTCTGTAAGAAAGTAGACGAGAGAGGAGAGAAAAGTGAGGAGAAACGGTCTATGAATTTGTGACAGCTGGTTTAGAAAAAAAACCAAAAAATAAATCTATGAAGGGCAGATGGACCATATATTTATTACAGTGAAAAGCTAACAACTATATGAGTGGGTTGAAAGATAGACTATAAAAATCTATATAATCAGTAGCTGGTTGTATTATTAGCTATGCTCATAGGGCCTGTCTAGGGATCTTCGTAGTATCTTTTAGAATTAAAAACTCCCTACACAGTTTAGCTTTTAGTTTAGATTCTAAGAATTTATAGTTATAAAATCTAAAAAATAAAGTAGAAGTCATAAGCTAGAAAACCTAGCTTTTTTAAGATTATCAGTATCAATTAGTTGTTTCTTAAAATTTTAAACTCTTCTAAACAGGCTGTTAGCTACACTTGGTAAGCCTACCTACCGAAGACAATTATATATATATATAATCTTACTTAATTATTTTTCATGAGCGAGCTGTACATGTAGGGCAGTGTCTTATTTGTATATTCTATATACCTGAGTATGATTAATCAACTTATCACATCATACTTATATTTAGAGCATGTTTGGTTGAGAAATAATGTTCCACGTATTATTTTTTATTAAGGTGGCTAAGTTTTTTCTTGTTATAATTTTGCGATAAACAAAATGATAAGTTAAACTTAGATAAATTTGATAATAAAATAGAGTGTATGACATGTGGACCATGTAAAAAGTTAAGATGTGACAAATTTAGTTGCCAATCAAACATGCAGCCATTAGACTCACTCTTTTCATCTACGTGGTCTCGCCGAGGTGGTAATGTGGTGGTAAAATTGATGACATGTATCTATTAATTACTTACTACTACCTTCATTTTTTAATAGATGACGCTGTTGACTTTTTCTCACATATTTGACCATTCGTCTTATAATTTATTTTGTTATGAGTTATTTTATCACTCATAGTATTTTAAGAGTGATTTATATCTTATACATTTGCATAAAATTTTTGAATAAGACGAATGGTCAAACATTTGAGAAAAAGTCAACGGCGTCATCTATTAAAAACGGAGGGAGTATAAGATTGCTCAAAAAGGACCCACAAATATTCGCTATGTAGGCTAACACATTTCCACATATGTTATTAAAGGGAGAGAGAAAAGATATATATTGATGCGCGTTGATCGATTTAATTAAATACGAAACGCTATTGTTAGGACCTGTTCATTTTAGAGGAATTTCAATGCACGGGAATAGAAAAGGTGGGCAAAGGGTGAATAGCCAAAGTGGTCCTTCAAGTTTTATCTAAAGCTTAAGTTTAGTTCTTAATGTTTCAATTTATCCATATTAGTCCTTTAAGTTCTAATTTTAGTTCAAACTTATCCTTGAACCCATTTAGAAGCCACATGGCTAAATATAACAACAACTTTCTTGATAAATGATACTTATACCCCCCCTCATTCATATATATAAGAAAAACAATTGCATTCAATGATTGTTTTATAGATAATGCACAGTAATTTATGTAAAATGAAAATAAATTATGTACTTACAAGTGTATACGATAGCCATTGCTTAAGTTTAATGTGCACATATTGAAATAATGAGAAATATATCTGCAATGTTGTTTATTCATCTTGGTTTTATCTTTTCTAATGTATAGTTTGTATACAAACTAAAGGGCAAAAGAGACATTCTCTAACAGAAATATTGAATAGAAATAGCCACATGGCATATTAAGTGGGTCCAAAGATGATTTTAAACAAAAACAAATATTTAGACGACATATGTGGACAAAATGAAATCTAAAGTATCAAATTGAGCATTTGATGAAACTTGAGGGACTAAATTAGCTATTCACCCGTGGGGAAAATAGGAATACATGCACACTCCAATATATAGGAATTTTTCAAGAGATTTGAGTGGATTGAAAATTTTCTATGTTTTTTTCTATACAACGTGTGGAAAAGAAAAAAATCTTTTATTTTTACTATATCTACATTTATATTAACCGAATAGTATCCATAGAAATTAATCCTGAGAAATCTAAATACTTTAAAATTTCTATAAAACAAAAAAGCCCTTAAATTGTCGAACTATATATTCACGAAAAAAAAAAGACAATATAACTAGCATCAGGATGTTAAACTCACAGGACACAGCAATTATGATAATTCGAATGAATTTGGGTTCGTTCAGGTGTGTCAAAGGTCTGAAGAAACGGCTGGAACCAAGTCAGGAAACAACGTATATTTGTTTCCACCCAGAATAATGCAAGATCTCCCAAGGCCACTTTGCCATTCGTCTGCCCAAGCCCCAACGGTGGGGAACATAACTGGAAAGAGTGCACCCCCTCCGTTGTTTGTACTGTTATCTCTCCTCTTATTAAAAAGTTTGTGCAAATATAAAAAATGAAAAGTTATGTTTAAAGTAGTTTGGATAATAAAGCAGGTCACAAATAAAATAATAATAATTCTAAAAAATTTTATTAAGACGAATGGTCAAACAGAGCATGTAAAAAGTTAAAATATCTTATATTATGAGACCAAATGAGTAGCTGTGTAGTACATTAGTTCTGGCCGGTCGGCGGTGGCGACATGAACCGAATTGGTTTTGGAAGTACTCCGTATTTGACGTTACTGTAAAATTATATTAGCTGTATAAGTAATTTCTGGTTTGTAGATATGATGAAACTGGCCACTCATGTTTTAGTTTGTGTTAATTCAATCTCAGTCTCCACTGATTATTTTATTTGGTGAAGACGAGATTAATTGTTGTACATGTTTTTTAGACTAATTAATTAATAATTTGTTAATGTTTTTCAAAATAAATCGGCTAGCCGTCAATTTAAATGAATAGAGTAGGAAAAAACTGTATGCAAATAAAAACTGTAAGAACATGTACAAGTTAGGTCCCGAGATGTGGGCTAGTGATTAAGATAACAAGTACATCTGTTTCACAATGTAAGTTATTATAGCATTTTTCACATTCATATTGATGTTAATCAATCTAGATAGATATATATGTCTAGATTCAATATGAATTTAAGAAAAGTTAGAATGACTTATATTATAAAATAGAGGGAGTAGTAGCGAGTTCCCTAGCCATTGCAAGGACCCGTGTTTTGCCCTCTTCTTTTATCTTGGTTAGGGATGTTGAGATCTCTTAATAATGTTAAAATTGAAATTTCTTTTGTATTTTTTTCCCATATCTCTTAGAGGACTAGCAAAGCTAATATACGGACTACTTGCTTTGAGGCTGCACAATTTTTTCATGTAAGACCGACTTGAGTTCTTAATTTTTATTCAGACTTTCAACTTTTCCATCACATCAAAACTTTTCTATATACATAAACTTTTAATTTTTTTCTTCAAACTTTCAATTTTAGTCAAACTTTCAATTTTAACGTGGAACTAAGCACAACCTAAAACTACGAGCTTCTATCATGATCATTCAAATTTCATCGATCCCATGGTGAAGCAGTCAAAGCAGATCGTTGCTCGGCGAGCAAGATGTACTCCCCATACAAAGAAAAGTCTTCTCTTACGCACGTAGTAGTACGTGTCTATGTCTCGCCTGTATCCAGCCCAGCCCAGTACGTGCGGAGAGAGGAGTCGATTGTTCTTGGAATCTCGGTGCGCGCGTAGTTTGGCTCCTTCCAACACCGTATATTCCCCCATGTCTCTCAGAACCCCCCAATACAGTAGCACATCTCGACCAGAACATCCCTATGCGTTTCGCTGACTGGTGGGGTCCCAGAAGGCCAACTCGACCAAAATATTGGGACAAAAAGCTACACACTTCTCTCAGGTAGCGGTAGCAGCCGTACTTTAATTGCAACTTGCATGACCTTGGGCCCATGCCCTGCGTCTGCATGCACGAGTAGTGGAAAGCGAGAGCCCACTACACTACTACGCGGTGATGTCACGTACGCATGCGCCGCGCCCATCGGCGCACCGGAAGGCCAGGGGCCATCAGCCATGCCATCTTTTGCGTGGATCGATCCACCCCGCGAAGCCGCCCCGCCCTCCCGCGGTGGTCGGAGGCGGCGTACGTACGTTACGCGAGTAGAGGAGATGCGTGGGAGGAGCGGGAGCGCGACACGCGGGCCTCGGCGCAGCGACGCGTGCCCGCCGCGCGCGGCAGCGCGACACACGTACGTGTAGTAGAGCTGGGACGCCGCGCGCACGACTCGACTCGGGTGGGCTCTCGATGGGCGGCTTTCCGTTTCGCTGCTCGGTGGAACATGGAACGGGCTTGGTCCAGCGTATGGTAGTGCAGCTGTATTGGGTGGGTCAAACCACCAGGGGCAAGTTGTTGTTTCCCTGCGCGCGCTAGCTTTACGGACGCGTGGCTCGTTGGGTGTCTGCAACTCACGGAGTAGTGGCGTGCTGCCTGAGGGTGCGGTGTGCCGCGTGCTTCGGTGCGTGCGATGCGACTGTGATTCTGCTCTAGGACAGCTTACTCCTTCGTCCAAAAAAAAATCTAACCTATTTAAAATAAATATAATTTAGTATTATAAATCAAAACAGTATTAAAATATGTCACATCTCTAAAAAAACAAGTAATATAA